TCGGCCTGTGTTATCCTCTCTAATCTAGCCGAATGTCGGAGTTATTACAACTAGGGTTTAGCACAATAGATCTTCCTATTGTGCCCCTATGGACAGACGCTATAGAAGCTGCACGCTTCTTGGGTCTCCTGTTGTTGACAACAAACTACTGAGAGACTAGCCGATCTGGGTGGGATTGTTGTAGCCGCTACAACAACAAAAACAACAACAACAACAGCAACAACAGATCTTCTCAGATCGCGTCGCGAGTATTCCCGGCATAATAACAATAACAATAAAGATACATATATTTGTACAAGTCTGTCAAGTAACATCAATTTTTATACGGAGCTTATTTGTTTTTATTGTACTAGCTGTGTTATAATAATATAGATTGGCGCTTACACAACATGTTGGTGATTGGCCGAGCTTCTCCTCCGAATTGTGGCGCGCGCCTTGATGTTGTCACACAAAGGGGACTAGCTGTGTTATAGTTGCAATTACTTTACAAATCCGGTTACATGCTTCGTTATATTACACGTAGTGTTCTTGTAGGGACAGCATGCGAAAGCAAGCAAACACACTATAACTTTTTGCTCACACTTGGTTATGGTAGCCCCCACGGTGGAGAGAATACAGAGGTGGCGCCGATGACGATACCGCTACTCGGCTCTCAGTGATTTTGACAGAATCAGCTGTTTTGATGACGTCATAGTAGAGAAGACAGCAGTAGTGATGTGCTGAGTCAATACTTTTAAGTACCCAATACTCTCGATACTCGGTACCGAAAAATTTAGGTTTCGAATAAAAGCGCACATAGGCCAAAAATATGGAAAAAAACGCCTAACAAAACCCGAATGTAAGAGCCAATAGAGTTTTTTACTGATTCAAATGAAAGATGTATATATGTCGGTTCGATGCCATAATACAGAGAAACCCTTACTTGTTTGAAGCATTTTTGTTCCAGCTGAATCGGACGATATCATTTTTGTAGGCCTGGGACAGATTCTGTAACCAGTTAACGACAATTTTCGAATCGGTATCGGTTTTGTCGACGTTTGATATCAAATATTTGTAAGTCAACAAGTGCGATATCGATCCGAAACTTGTCGCTAACTGGCTACAGAATCTCTCCCCTGAAAGGCTTCTTCATCCGTCAAAGTATTTTTCTTGAACCTTGGATCGACTAAGGTTAAAACTGATAAAATAATATTTTTCTGTGGCGATAAGTTCAAGTGTTTTAGCCGATATCATATAAATTAGTAATGAAAGTTTTTTCTAAACCTGAAATGCATATAATGGCGAGGGTTTAATGTAAATAATCGGTATCGGATACCGAAATCTTTTTTAAGCATTGGGTACCGAGTATTCGAGTACAATTCAGCACATCACTAGTCGCCCTCATTCTCGCCGATCTCAGTTGTCAACTCTACGATGACGTCACGCTAAAATTACTCTCACGAATTCTGCTGCAATCGGCGCAATCTTGTATTCTATCATTCTTGGGTAGCCCCCATATTTTTCATTACTTCACATAAAATTTCGATTATGTTTTCAAATGTAAATTAATTAATCTGTCAAAAATTGTTCACTGTGAAAACTTTTTTTACAAATTTTTGTGGCTGTGAAAAAGAACGGTTGGGCGTGTTTCTCAAAACCATCATCTTGTGATAAGAAATATCTTGTCTTAAACTCACAATAATATATAACGAAACGATAAAGTGAAAAAATTCAATTTTCACTGACATTGAATTTTTCATTTTCACTTCACTGTTTCATAGAACCAGAATTGGCCCGTTCGCATTTATTTTCAACCTCTCACAAGAAAAAATGAGTAAAATCAAATTGGTAGCATATACTCGATGGAACCAAAAATTGCAGGCACACATAAGTATAAATATTTATATTTTGAGTATGTTCTTGTTTTGGTGAGAATTATTTATAGTACTTTTAAAAATTTTGCTCAATTGTGATGGCTCATGATTAAGTACACCAATTTTATTAGTAATTAGCATGCGGTTTTCGTACACTTTAATATCCGGAAAGGTACAGAAAACGTTTATAATTTATCGTGCATTTTTCATATCCGAATTAAAATATTTGTTCTAAGTGAGCATTTATAAAATGTATACTAGGCATGTTAGTCCCGGGATCCCGGGTTCCCGAAAATCCCGGTACTCTTGGCAAATAATCAAGGGATTTTCGGGATTTGTAATGTGCACTGATGGCAATAATAGAAATTCATTTTCTTGACCAGTATTGGCTATATTTCTTTTTTTTTTATTTAATAATTAATATTTTTTATAAATGTCTAGCTCATTATTCATATAACACCGTGCGATAGTAAATTATAAACACAAATATCAATATATTCGCGAAACCATGGGCCTAATATAGTAAAATTGCGTATTTAGTCTTTCAGTCTGACGTCGCTAATTCGAAAATGTTTTAAAAAATTCCGTGAAATGTGCTCAGAGAAGAAGTATGGGTATCAAATTAAATAGTAAATTCTGTAGAATTTAAACAGATTCAATTTTTTGGAGCGTGAGGGCTGGTAAGTATTGAAAATGTAATTTTAAAATTGTATATTTGAAATTTCGCAAACTTTGAAAAAAAAATTATGTGTTAAGGACTTATATAAACTCGACAACATCCTTGAATTTTGTCCTTCTAACTTTATCAACTTAAAAAATTACCTATTCGTCCTTGTGAATCCAAAAATTTTAATGTTTTTAAATTCTAAAGAAATTTTCTCTTTCATATAGTACCCATATTTTTATTCTACATTGCATTAAATTTTTTTTTAATAATTTTTGGAATTAATCATGTCTTTGAGATTACAAAGTCCTTTAAAATAAATCCTGACGCCAGAGAAAAATAAAATAAAAACGCCACTTTAAATAAAAAAGTAGGTTTCAAACCCATTTATTTATTATTTATTTTAAGGTAGGAGAGCTTCCCAAACAATATATAAGCAATTTTTTCGATGTAAGTTGTTGAAAAGTAATGAATATCTTAATCCCGGGATTGTGATATCGACATTCCGAAAATCCCGGGGATCGTAAAAAGCTAAAAAATTAAGACCCCTAATGTATATGTATGAGGCAGTAGCTGAGTGTGCAGGGGAGCGTGCTACCACCCGTTGGCTTCCAGGAAGTCCCGGGTTCCTATGCTGTTAGACGCAATAAAAAGATTCGTTATTTGTTGCTTTATTTTTTCCAAAAAATTAAAAAGCAAAATATAGAAAAAAGGTTTCTTCTTAACAGCGGTCGCCGCTCGGCAGGCAATGACAAACCTCCGAGTGTATTTCTGCCATCAAAAGCATCTTCTTATAAAAACACAATCGCCGTTGGGGGTCGGCGTAAAACTGTAGGTCCCTTCCCTTTGTGTGACAACATCAAGGCGCACGCCACAAATCAGAGGAAAAGCTCGGCCAAACACTAACATATGTGTAAGCGCTAATCTATTATTATTATGAAAAAGCATCTGTGAAGTGCGGAAAAGAAGCGTATTCAACGAAAAATTCATTGAGACAGATTTAAAAAAAAAATCCGAGAACATAATCGTTTCAGAACCATTTTCGGTATTTTTCTATACGAGCCTTTCTGCAGCACACTTTAGTGGGAAAAGGGATCGCCAAAGTATTTGAACATGACATCGAAAAGGACAAAAATTCGCATTTCATCAACTTTTCTTTCCGTTTTCGGATACATTTTCGTATTTTTTGCTGGCTGGGTACCCATAGCTATTTAGTGCGATGTTAGTTTATAAACAATTTATGAAAACATTTAAGGGATTCGCTTAAACTCGTAAAGTCTCAAACCGTGTAAAGCTCGTAAATTTACGAGGCTTTAATGGGAACGCCCCTTTGGGAAAAGGTGTAAATAGGTGCGTAAAGTGACTGTTTGACAGATCAACCAGGATTTTGTGAAGCAATATTTGTTTCGTAGTATTTTCCATAACATTCCGCCATCTTGTCTCTATCACTCTTGGCTAAAATACAATTAAAAATGCCGAAAATGAGCAGAAAACCTAAGTCAATACAGTTAGTGGATGAAATTCATTCATTTTATTCGCGTGTTATTTTTTCATTGATTTTCATTATTTTATCAAACATTTTAGTATAAAAATGTCTTCCTCTCGGCAACACTGAAGTTTACGAGGTCGTTTGCGCATCAAATTTGACTCGGAAATTTACGAGGGGATCGTAAATAGAGCTCCATACAAATTTTGACAGTTATTTTACGAGGCTCGTAAAATTACGAGCTTTACGAGGCTTTTACGAGTTTAAGGGAAGAGTCCTATTACTGCTACACATATATAACACATTTGGCGCGTTCATAAGTCGTAGCTGTTGGGTAACCGTTGGCTGTTTGTTTTAGAAACGCACAGTTGAGTAGTTACGCTCAGCCCAAGAGTTGGCAACTTTCCGCCATGTTTTCCAGCGAAAAATTTTTACGCTACCTGAACTCAACGTGTTGGGCTTAGCCTAAACAGCTGATCGAAAAGACTTACGCCGCTTATATTAAATTTAATGCCGCTTTGTTAAGAGGTAGTTGCAAACAAATTTATTATATTTTATATTACTGACGTGATAAAGTAACTAAAATATTTTATAATAATACTACGTTTCTAAATATATGTTTTTAAGATGTTTGCTATATAATTTTACACTGTTTAATTCATTGTAACATTGAACGATTTTTTCAACATGGCGGCCGCTCAGCGTTGAATTCTAAATAGTATCGGCGCAACTATCTCCATTTGTTGCAATTTCATTTGTTCAGCTGTTCATTTGGCAGCATATTCATCAAGCCGTTTCTAAGACGTAATTGCTGGGTTCAACAGTTGCCAGCAGTTTCGTAGCAGATGAGCTAAACAGCTACGTCTTATGAACGCGACCATTGCAACATGCTTGTTGGATTAAAACTCCCGATATTTAAAAATAACTATGAGAGTTAATATATAGGGGCGAGATTGCATGCAACTACTGCTATTGTACATTTAACGCGAAAACTCACCAATCGGAATCCAGATCTGAATGCCTATCGACAATATCTGTTTTCCTGTAATAAAAATTGTATTCAATTTTAATTTCATGAAATATTTATATATGTATGTACATTAGACCGTATCACAATACATGGGCCAAAAAAAATTCAATTTGAACGATTTTGAACACTCGCTAGGAGTAGGGTTGCCAGATTTTTTATGCGCGAAATCAGTACGCTAGACTTTTTCATGTTAAACAAGTAAGAGAGTCTAAGTTCGGGCGGAGCCGAACATTAAATACCCGGCGCAAGTATTAAAGATATGTTTTTCACCTTTCCGAAAGCTACACCCCGGATCAATTTTGAGTAAATTAGCGTCCTTAAATTTCGAAATATTGAAGTTTTAAGCATTTCTGAAATGTATCTTTATATGAAAAGCGGCCGTAATTTTAGTCCGATTTCAACAATTTTCAACGTTTTGCTTTTATGTGGCAAGCACAATAAGCCTACCGAGTTTGGTACAAATTTGTAGAACGGTTACTGAGATAGATATCTGTGATCATAAGTGAGCGGTGCCACGCCCATTTTCCAAAATTTTATCATAAACGTATTTCTTGGTAAAGAATTGTTGCAAGCATCAATTTTGAATAAATTAGCTTTAATATTTACTGATTTATCGAATATTTCGTATTTCTCTAAATTACCGTTATATGGGATGTGGGCGTGGTTATTGTCCGATTTTAAAAATTTTCGGACATTTGGTATGCTATACCAAGGCCAACAACTGTGCCAAGTTGGGAAGAAATTGGTGGGCGTGGCTACGGCCATTTTCCAAAAATTTATAATGTTCTTATTTTTCGTCGAAAAATCACTGTAAATATCAATTGTGAGTGAATAATCTTCCGTAGTTACTAAAATATCGCAGTTTTCGTATTTCTGAAAATTTCCGTTATATGGGAGGTAGGCGTGGTTATTGTCCGATTTTGCCCATTTTCAATACCATCCGTCCTACGCCAGAAAGAAGTGCACGTACCAAGTTTCGTTAAGATATCTCAATTTTTACTGGAGTTATCGTGTGCACAGACGGACGGACAGACAGTCACCGCTTAATCGGTTTCTCTTTTCATTCTGATCATTTATGTATACATTTGTCTATATCTATCTCGATTCGTTTTGCCTGTTACAAACAACCATTATGTGAACAAAGTTATAATACCCTTGAGCACAAGTGCGCTCCGGTATAAAAATCAGAATGTAAGTAACATATAATATTTAAAACGCCAGAGTACTTGTTTTTAAGAATATTTGGGTATATAAATAAAACATAGTTCATAAAAATAAAAGTGTTATTCATTTTAACATGAATGTACACTAGGGTGATTCAAAAACAGTAAAGTCGGAATTGTAATGCTCTCACCTCTAGGATTGTTCTATATCGAAAAAAAGTATACCCCTATTTTTTATTTTGAAATCAAAAAATAGTTAGAGGTCGCTCAAGGCGCTCAAAGTTTTCCACGTATTTTTATATGGCAAAAAAAAAACACTTTTTCGTAGATATGGTATAGAATTCTTGAAAATCAATATTTTCGATCGTAAAGCTCTCGTTCTCTTCAGGAGACTTCCAATAACAATACTGAGTTGTTTATTTAATCAGTTTTTATTTATTTTTTTTTTTTTATTGAGCTTTGTACCACGATTGTTTATTAGGAAAAATTGAAAAAGCAACAAAGTCTAAGCGGTAGAAGTTATAGCAGCTATTTCGGAGATCACCACGTCTCCTCATCAGACTTTTTTTTCTAGACTTCAGCAGGCATCGAACCTGCGTAATCGATGTGCACAGTCAGAAGCGTTTACTACTGAGCTATGAACACCCCGTAAACTCTTGCTGCTAACTTATTTTCGTTATTCAACCAACTACTATCAAGTGCAGCTGATTTGCCGCTTTTAAACTTGACAGCGTGGTTGTTGTTGTCAATTCTACACATCCATTTGCTTATTTGCTTTATTGTATAGTTTCAGGCAGGCTCTTCCTAAACTATGTATTTGTTAATGTTATTGTGGCTTATTAACATTTTTTATCCTAATAAACAATCGTGGTGCAAAGCTCAATAAAAACACTAAAAATAAAATGTTAATAAACCACAATAACATTGACAAATAACGATTTTTTATTGTTCCTCCTATTGCATTTTTCGGGGTTTTTGTAGGTTTTTGGCGGACATATAAATTATTGTTGCGATGAAAAACTTGTTAACTAAACAATTGAGTATTATTACTGGGAATCTCCTGCAGATAAACAGAGCTTAGCGATAGAAAAATATTGATTTTTAAGAATTCTATACCATTTCTACGAAAAGGTTTTTTCCCCCCATATAAAATACATGGAAGNAAAAATAAAATGTTAATAAACCACAATAACATTGACAAATAACGATTTTTTATTGTTCCTCCTATTGCATTTTTCGGGGTTTTTGTAGGTTTTTGGCGGACATATAAATTATTGTTGCGATGAAAAACTTGTTAACTAAACAATTGAGTATTATTACTGGGAATCTCCTGCAGATAAACAGAGCTTAGCGATAGAAAAATATTGATTTTTAAGAATTCTATACCATTTCTACGAAAAGGTTTTTTCCCCCCATATAAAATACATGGAAGACTTTGGGCGCTTTGAGAGACCTCTAAATATTTTTTGATTTCAAAATAAAAAGATTGGGGTCTATTTTTTTTGGTATAGAACAATCCTAGGGGGTGAGAGCATAAAAATTCCGACCATACTTTTTCACATACATTTTTGGATCACCCTAATGTATACATCATTGCATACAGAAGCCAATAAATTATTTTATAATTATGACTTTTTTAATAGCAATAATGAGATCATCTCCATCTTCAGTGTTTAAATAATCAAAGAATTCTATACATTTCATTTTAAAATTACTTTTAATTTGCAGTCCACTTTAAAAAATTTTAATTAGAAGCTGACTTCTCTCTTTGTGCCAGAAGGCAAACTTTATACTGTAGATCCTCTCAGTTGCTTCGTTTGAATGTGGTATTGAAAAAAAAATTACATATTTTTTCAAACTGTGAAAAAGTACCACTATTTAAGGACTTCATCTGTACTTCCTCATGGCTTAAATTAATTTTTTCAACTACGCAAAAAATTTTAAATACTAATAATTTGCTAAAAAGAGTATCTAACTCTATGCCTTGTAAGCAAAACTCTTTTACAATGTCAGTAAATTGTGAAAAAAGAATTGTAAGTTATAGGCATAAGCCACTCAAATATTAAAATTTGTTGTTATTAAACTGAAAGTTATTTTCGAGATAACTAACAACACACGACAAAAAAACGTCAGCCTTCTTTTTAAATAATTTAAGTAAGATCCATCATATCATCGCAACTGGTACGTAACGACCCGGCGAGAGGCGATTGATCTGTTTGCGATATTAATTCCTTGGTCATATCAAACATTATCTGAAACATGTCAACCATAATTAAATTATTTTCTTCTTACTTCTTACAGTACAGTTTGAGAAAGTTCCAACGTTATGTAAAAACCGTAAGAAAATCCTAAAGTATTTTGTTTGATTCTTTTTTTGTTGTTGGTGTTTCTGACAGGGTAAGAGTGTGATGTAATGGGGAACGATTTTCCGTCATCCCTTGTCAAATTTGGTTTGGAGACAAACCGGTTTCGGCGTTGTGCCAACTTCAGTGACATTTTTCATTCGAAAACGCACAACGCCGAAACCGGTTTGTCTCCAAACCTATTGTTTGAATTGAAAATTCAGTACAAATCAGTACACATTTTGAAAATCAGGTCATTAACGTACTGATTGAAGAAATTAATAAAATCAGAGCAATAGTTGAAAAATCAGTACTGTACTGATAAAATCAGTACGTGTTGCAACCGTATCTAGGAGGGTATTTCAGGAAATAATTTTTTTGGCACCCTGTAAAAACGTTTTAATCGGTATTTGATGTGGATACAGTGTGTTTAGGGGCTCTATAAGTTTGTTTTTCGTTATGCAGACGCAAGCAAGAAATATAAATTTTTTTTATAACTATGGATTTAATTATAAAATTTTATTTATTATTTGTTTTTAAATAATAGTTTAACAAACAACAGTTTTATTTGCTTGACATCACATAGAAATTTATTTTACTTCGGCGGACGTAATATTACAACCAGGACCAGAGCAGAGAAGTTAACATCTCGCCACAAACACACATCGTGATCAGCGTTGCCGCAAGCTTGAAAAAAATGTATTAGGTGCCAAGCAGAAGAAGTATCAAAAGCAAACAAAACTGTTGTTTCTTAAACTTTTGTTTAAAAAACAAATAATAAATAAAATTTTATAACTAAATCCATAGTTATAAAAAAAAATATATTTATTGCTTCTGTCTGCTTATTTGCATAACGAAAAACAAACTTATAGAGCCCCTAAACCACACAAAATCCTTGCGCAACCCGAGACTTGTACAAGTCAATATTGTGGAAATTACTACAGCATAAAATTGCGCACACCTTATTTTGAAGGAACATTGCTCAAGTAAATATGTGCAAGAAATATGAACGCGCGTTGTATATTTTGATAGCTTCAGCTTTAAAACGTAAAAAAATAAATTTAAAAACAAAATAATTTTTTTCTACGCTTTTATCCATATTTTGCAGCACGACCTGGACACCAAAATCACACCTAGACTACAAATTTCGCAGTTGTCGCCATGCGCAGCACAAATTATTGTACAATAACTCAAGAATGAGCAAAATATTTAAATAATTTTTATTTTAGCGCAATAACTGCGCAATTTAGTACAAACGATCCCATACAGCACACAAACGACCGACGGAAGCCCGATATAGCGTAATGTTTTTGTGTAGTTTAGGGGCCCTATAACAGCGGCGTGTGCAAAGAAGTTCCGGGTTGTGTTTCCCTTATAAGAGTTACCAAATCAAACTTATAAATATCTATATATAAATTGTGAGACTTTAAATAACAAGATAAAAAATATCTGCCTTTAGACTAGTAATACTATTCACAGTTTTCAAAAATTCATTTCTGCCAGCCGA